CCAACTCAAAAAAAAAAAAAAAAAAATTACCTGGTCTACGGTATTTTGTTATGGTAGTATAAATAAACTAAGACAGTCTGCTTTCAAGTCAGGAGTTAACTGATATAAAGGTAATAATGTCATCATTTCTACTCTTATAAGTGTATTACTGGCCGGGCTCGGTGGCTCAGCCTGTAATCTCGCGCTTTGAGAGGTCGAAGTGAGTGGATTGCCTGAGCCCACAGGTTCAAGACCTGCCTGGACAACTTGGTGAGACCTCATCTCTACAATAAAAATCAAAAAATTAGCTGGGTGTGGTAGTGCGCGCCTGTAGTTCCAGCTACTTGGAAGGCTGAGGCAGAAGGATCGCTGGAGCCCAGCAGGTTGAGGCTGTGATGGTTGGGAGCGGCCCCTGCACTCCTGTGTGGGTGACAGAGTGAGACTCCAACTCAGTGTATTATCATAATGTAGTTCACATATTTTGTTTCCCTGTAATCTCTCTGAGCACTTATTTTTACCTGGTCAGTTGTAAGTTTTGACATTAAATAATTATACCACTTAAAGCCTTGAAAAATTTTATTAGCTCCTATAAGTATTTGTTTAGAAAAAAAAATAACAAAACTAAGCACTTTCAAAAAAATTCAAATAGTATAAACAAGATATATTCAGTGGTAACATCAAGAGGTGGTATGGGAGCTGTCCTGCTGTAATAGTCTCTATTAACTTCTTAAAGTAAAATTAACTATGGTTTTTAATAAAGACATTTACTCAGACTACAGGATGCATGACTAAAAGCATCTTTTGTAAACACTATTTTTATTAATCTATAACACATAATCTAAGCAATGAGTACTATGCAATATCCCTCCCTGCCCTTTCCCCCACCAAACTGCTGCCCTTAAGTTTCCCTCACACATAATTTCAGAGCTACCACTAGATATATTGTTTAAAAATATTTTCACTGATAAGTAAGCATAAAAATATATAAGCAAGTTGAACTTCTCCCTGGAATGAACTCAAGGCAAAGTGTAATCTATGTGAAGCCTTTCCAGTCACCTCTTAGACATAATTAATGATCCTCTCTTATGCTTCCAAAATATACTACACAAATGGCAAACACTAAATCACATTATAGTTGGCTACATATGTGCCCATCTCTAGCTAAACTTCAAATTCCCTCAGGCAGGTATGGTATATTATTCAGATTTATTTGTGCTTTCCACATATTAGAGTAGGACTTCAATAAAAATTTCCCAAACAAATTTATTTGCTATTTCTAAAAGACATACTCAGGAATTTTAAAATGGGTTAATGATCCTATATATGAGCAATAAAACAAATTTTGTGATAACTGTCTTCCTAAAATATTTGTCCTAAAAGCAATAACGGTCACAGGAAACATAATACTAAAAGAGATTAAATTATATCATGAAATAATCCTTAAGATAATATGACTCTAAAATGTATAGTGTATGTTGAACAGAGCATTATAAATTACCCACAATCCTATTTGGTTTAGAAGTTCTGAAAGTTGAAGAAATGTTCAATGAGAATTAAGAAATAAATCCAGTATAACAGATCTGCTAAAAGATTAAACTGTAATTCTTTGTAGGACTAGGAACAGATCTACCATAGCAGAATTCACTGATAGCAGTACATATAATCATCATAATAATTGCTGGTATTTATTATTTACTATGTGCCAACCACAGTTGTAAGAACCTCACATGTATTAACTCGTTTATTCCTCACAAAAAGCCTAGTCATCATCCTAATTTTACAGTTGAGGAAATACAAATGAGTCAGTTTCTTTAAACTAGCTCTGTTAGCTGGGTGCAGTAGCTCACGCCTATAACCCCAGCACTTCAGGAGGCTTAGTGGAGAGGACTGCCTGAGCCCATGGGTTTAAGACCAGCCTGGGCAACATGGAGAGACCTCATTTCTACAATAAATCAAAAAAGTAGCTGAGTGTGATGGCACATGCTTGTAGTTCCAGCTATTTGGAAGGCTAAAGTGGAAGGATCACCTGAGCCCAGCAGGTCGAGGCTGCAGTGGCCATAAGTGTGCCACTGCACTCAGCGTGTGCCACTGCACTCAGCGTGTGCCACTGCACTCAGCGTAGGCAACAGAGTGAAACTTGGACTCAAAAAATAAATAGATAAACTAGCTCTGTTGATGTGTTTCTCTTCCTAAATGACTTCTATCACTGCTTCAAATATAGGATACTTAGTCTTCCACCAAAGATTGTTCTGAAGTTTTTATTTCAAGTTATTGCTGATGTCACCCAAGAAACAAAAGTCCTGAGTCTGGTTATAACTTACAGTTAGGCCCTTATTTTTCACTTAAGTTTATATGCAGTAGTTTATAAAATTATTCTAAAATCTAATTTTTAAAATTTATAAAATCAATGTTACTTTTAAATATTTCCAGGCATCCACTGATGATATGCTGAATGAACAGTTGATTAAATACAAATAATCTATTTTTTACTTTTGCTGAAGCCAGTGTGGGTCACTAAATTTTACATTAGGATTGAAAATTAGAACAATGGCATGAGATTAAACATAATATACCATAAGGATCAAATGTTTGTGTTTCTACATTAAAATACATACATGAATATGGCTAAATTTCACAAAGAATTAGTAGAATTATGTAATGATTTTCTTTTCAATATCTGAGGACACTAAGACTTTAAAGAAAGAGAATATGGGTCAGTCATCCACAGTGTAACACTACTCTCCTGGACTTTCTAGGCCTGAAACTCAAAGCTTATGTTTTAGTTTATAGATTTTTTGCTGAGTGTCCCCTGATCCGATTCTCCAAGCGTGCCCTGAATTCCCACAACAGTGTTGGCTCTACGAACTTGTGTGAGCAGGAACAGAAAGAAAAATCGATGAGACCCAAAAGTGGCAAATCTCATGGGGAAAATGCTGCATGGATACATATGAATCACCAAAAAATTTAATATTGCACTAAGAAATAAGAAAAAGAAAGTACTTTAAATATGTAATGGGAAACAATCAGAACACAGAGACTCCTTTATCACTTTTATAATTTTATTAAAACTGTGTATTTTTATTTTTTGAGTTGGAGTCTCACTCCGTCGCCAGACTGAAGTGCAGTGGCACTCTCCCGGCCACCACAGCCTCGAGCTGCTGGGCTCGGCGATCCTTCCGCCTCAGCCTTCCAAGTAGCTGGAATTACAGGTGCGCACTACCATGCCCAGCTAGTTTTTGATTTATTGTAGAGACGAGGGCTCGCCAAGTTGCCCAGACAGGTCTCGAACCTGCGGGCTCAGGCAACCCACTCACCTTGGCCTCCTAAAGTGCTGGGATTACAGGCTGAGCCACTGAGCCTGGCCAAAACCGTGTATTTTTTTTAAGCAGAACAAAACGATCCTATAAACCATAAACTTAAAGTTCCTCAAAGACCTTTTCAGCCAAGTCTAAATAGACTATATTTCACTATCAGGTGCAGATACACAATCTCACTTAACAGATAACAATAAAGTTGAGGTTAAACTATCAGAATAGGGATATACAGTAAAACACTAGTGTAGCTGAGTCAACAAACAAGAATTCCTGACTTCAAATATATATTAAGAGTAAGCAAATATACATCAAGGTATTTAAATTCACAAGTGAAAATTGTGTCCAGTCAATAGCGATTTATTAATTTACTTAAAGTAACTATTTGTTGTTCTGGGGTTCCAGAAGTTAATTAACTAAGAAATAATGAATATCGGCCAGGCGCACTGGCTCAAGCCTATAATCCCAGCACTTTGGGAGGCCAAGGCAAGAGGACTGCCTGAACTCAGGGGTTCGAGAACAGCCTGGGCAACTTGGTAAGACCTCGTCTACACAATTAAAAAAAAAAAAATTTTAGCCAGGCGTGGCAGTGCATGCCTGTAGTTGCAGCTACTTGGAAGGCAGAGGCGAAAGGATCACCTGAGTATAATAGGTCGAGGCTGTGGTGGCTGTGAACATGCCACTCACTGCACTCCAGCCTGGGTGACAGAGTGAGACTCCAACTCAAAAAAAAAAAAAAAATGAATGAATGAATATCAACATTAAATTAGTACAATAACGTTATCTTATGCTAACTTCTCTTCACTTACCCTCTCTTATGTCCCTTCCTCTTCAATAAGAAAAGATTGAGACTAAAGTCACTCTGACCATAACAAGTATAGCACCAAAGTTTGCCTCATGTGGTTATAGAAACCCTCATTTTTCATAGGAGACTGAAGAAATTGAGTAAAGTAAGAAAAAAGGCAACCTTACCTTCAGTGTGACATCACAGAGTTCTCCATTTTCATAAAATCGAAGAAGAGAACCATGAAAGTCTTTCCAAGCTTCATTTGCTTCAAAAACAAAGGTGTCGTCTCCATCACCATCACTGACTGAAGATCTGTTCTTTAGTTGCTGCTGCGGCTGCTGCCTCTTCCCCTTTGTGAGGTGATTCCTAGCTTGTTTCCCATTCACAGAGTCTGAAGCCATTTGCAACACTCTTTTAACGTAGCTGTCTTCTCAAATGTCTCATTAGTTCTTTTTCAAAGGGTGGGAGAGGGCAGAAGGCCACCAGATTTCAGATATTTCTCAAAACCCCCTCAATTGCCATCGTACAGTTAGTTTGCTATGATCAAAAAGTCAACAACAAAACACACAGAGACAAACCAAAAGAAAAAATTAATAACTATAATATGCTAAAACTATAAGCAATGATAAGACAACTATATATCAATCATTACTGAAAAAGAACAAAAATGCAATTTTGATGCTAAATGTCACATAATTCACTTCAGCTATTTTATGTAGTAAAAAAACTCCTTTAAAATCTAACCAGAACAACTCAAAGCACATGACTTTTGAGTTTTGAAACTATCTTCAAAAAGAGAGGCTATAAACTAAAAATTTTAAGTCTAGAGAGTTTATTTAGTGATACAAGGCAAAAAGGGAAGGTTATTTTGATTAAGTTAGGTTAATCTAGGGTAGTTCACCCTAGATTCTAGAGTCAGATCATGGTTCCACCACTTACCATTTGTATGATCTTGGGCAAATAACAACCTGCTTAAACCTCAGTTATCTCTTCTGTGAAATGCAGATACTACTTATAGGAATATACTAAGGATTCGGGATACTGCACTGTCAGGCATAGGAACTACTGCGTGCTTATAAAGATCTCAGTTGATTTGCATTTTCACATAGAATTTGTTAGTGTTACATATAAAATCAAACTTTCCTCATCATCAAAGCATATTTGATGAACATCCACACCATCAACAGTTCTATTCTACAATTCTACCCTGGTGACAGAAATAAATGATTTTAAGTTAAAACCCTATTCCACTACTTGCTGACTGTGCGATTTTTTTTTTTTTTTGGAAGGTTTTACTAATTCTCAGTTTCTTCATCTATAAACAAGATACTTATCTACCCCACAGTATTATCCTAAGAATTACATCAAATACAATAATGGATTTACAAGTGTTTGTTGCAAATCTTGGTATTCCTAGAGTAGAAAGTTCTGCTTAGTATGCAGTTTCAGAAAAATTGTAAACCCCTTAACCGGAACTTTAGCTGCGTTAGATTCTTTATTGTTAATCTCGTTTCCAGCTTTTGATAAGAATTAAAATGGTCAATGTAAGATGAAAGATTATAGTTACTGTAGTTTAACTTTCTGTGGCGGGCACCAGACAGTGACCCCCCAATGAGTCATGTCTTCATATAACCTCCTTGTGTACAAGAAGAGCCTGTGACTTGCTTCCAATCAACAGAATGTGGGAAAGTCGTGGCATGTCACCTTCTTGATTATGTCACATTATGTAATACTATCTGCGCAAACTGGAGTGACAGGCTCTCCTGCATGCCTTAAAAAGCAAACTACTAGAGAGGGCCATGCAGCAGGGAATGACAGACCATTCTAAGACCTGACAGAAGCCTCCACCTGACAGGAGGTAAGAAGCTAGGCCCTCAGTCACACAGCTGCAAGAACACAAATTCTGCCAATGACCTGAATGAGTGTGGGAGCAGGTTCCTCCTAAGTTGAGCCTTCACATAAGAATGAACACAGACTTGTGAGATCCCAAGCAGAGGACCCAAGGAAGCTGTGCCCAGACTTCTGACCCATAGAAACTGTGAGATGACACATTTGTGTTATTTTAAGCCACTAAAATTGTAGAAATGTGTTACATACAATAGAAAACTAATTTAGAAACCTTGTGTCAGGTCTAAAATTTTATCTGAAGAAAGTAGATATTCTAATAGGCACCAATGACTGTTAACATCTCTTTTAAGCTCACTTTTCTACTGTAAAATCAGCAGAACAAACAATAAACAAACAGCACAAGCAGGGATTAAAAAGTTTTTCTGTACAGGACCAGAGGGTAAATATTTTTGGCTCTGTGGACCATACAGTATCACAAGTACTCAACTCTGCCATTGCAACACAAAAGCAGATGCAGACAAGAGTAAATAAATGAGCATAGCTGAGTTCCAATAAAACTTTAATTATAAAACAAATTTGATGGGTGTGATTTAAGTCCCAAGTCATGGTTTGCCAACCCTGAGCAAGATGGTTGGTTTAAACCCAACTATAACAATAATCACATTAAATATAAATGGACTGGCTGGGCTCGGTGGCTCAGCCTGTAATCCCAGCACTTTGCGAGGTCGAGGTGAGTGGATTGCCTGAGCCCGCAGGTTCGAGATCCGCCTGGGCAACTTGGTGAGACCTCATCTCTACAATAAATCAAAAAATCAGCCGGGCGTGGTAGCGTGCACCTGTAGTTCCAGCTACTTGGAAGGCTGAGGCGGAAGGATCGCCAGAGCCCAGCAGGTCGAGGCTGCGGTGGCCGGGAGCGGCCATTGCATTCCAGTTTGGGCAACAGAGTGAGACTCCAACTCAAAAAAAAAAAAAAAAAAAAAAAAAAAATATATATATATATATATAAATGGACTAACCAATAAAACATGTGAGCAGGGTGCGGTGGCTCACGCCTATAATCCCAGCATTTTGGGAGGCTGAGGTGAGAGGACTGCCGGAGCCCCCATGGTTGATTTAAACCCAGCTATAGCAACAATCACATTAAATATAAATGAACTAACCACCTCCAATTAAAGGCAGAGACTCAGGAATACTATGCAGCAATAACAAGGACAAGCTATTGAAAATGTAACAAACTAGACAGATCTCAATGAAAAAACTATATGAGTCCATATATGTAACATTCTTGAAATGACAAAATTATAGAGCTAGAGAGTAGACTATTGATTGGCAGAGATTAGAGAAGGATGAGAGGAAGAGTAGTTGTGGCAATAAGTGAGTAGCACAGAGATACTCACGATGGAACTGCACTGTATCTTGACTGTAGCAGTGGTCACATGTGTAGCTATGACTCCTATCACATGAATCTACATGTCATATGCATACACACACAAAAGAGTGCATGTAAAACAGGTGAAATCTGAATAAGGTAGGCAGAATGTATCAATGTCAATGTCAATTTCCTAGTACTAAAGTTATACCCCTGAGGGAAACTAGGTGAAAGGTACACAAGATGTATTGTTGTTTACAATTGCAAGTGACTCTTCAATTATCTCAACAAAGACTAAAAGATAAAAAAAAGAAACTATCCACTTGGATGAGAAAAAGTAAAACCCAGCTATAAATTGCATACAAGCAAAAAAGTTACTTTAAGTATAAAAATACAAATATGTTAAAGTAAGTGAATAGAAAAGATATGCCATGCTAACAGTAATTTTTTTAAAACCTAAAGAAAAAGACTTTTTAAAAACTAAAATGGCTATATTATCAAAAACTGAATTAAGAACAAAAAAAAGCTGGCAGTGATAAAAGTTTCTGCATAAAATGAGATACTGCATGCAAAAGAATGAAGTTGTACTCTTACGTTAAACTATATACAAAAATTAACTCAAAATGGACTAAAGACCTAAACACATCCCTGAAACCATAAAACTACTAGAGGAAAACACAGGAAAAAAGCTTCACAACACTGGATTTGGCAATGATTTCTTGTATATGAAAAACACAAGCAACAAAAACAAAAATAGACAAATAGGACTACACTAACTTGAAAACTTCTGTGTAGCAAAGGAAGCAATAAACAGAGTGAAAAGGCAACCTACAAAATGGGAGAAGATAATATTTGCAAAAGAGGTTAATAGTCAGATATATAAAGAACTCCTACAGCTCAATAATAAAAAAACAAAATACCCAATTTAAAAATAGGCAAAATGCCTGGTGTGATGATTGGTACATGCATGCCTGTAGTCCCAGCTACCTGGGAGGCTGAGGCAGGACTGCTTGAGGCCAGGAGTTCAAGGTCAACCTGGGTAGCATAGCAAGAACCTGTCTCTACAAAAAAAGGCGAGGGGTAGACAATTCTCCAAAGATAATATACACATGACCAACAAGTATATCCATCTTTGGCATCTTTGGGGGGACTAGATACCAAAGTCCACGAATGCTCAAGTCCTTCATATAAGGGGGTGTAGTATTTACATACAAGTTACACACATCTTCCCATATACCTTAAATCATCTCAAGATTACTTATGACACCTAATACAATGTAAATGGCATATAGTTATTATTCTGTATTTTTTTTTGTATTATTTTTGGCTTTTTTCTGAATATTTCTGATCCATGATTGGTTGAATCTGGAGAGGTGGAACCCACAGATACTGAAAGTCAACTACATATGAAAAGATGTTCAATATTACTAATCAGAGAGATGCAGATCAAAACCACAATGAGGTACCACTTTACATTTGTTAGGATGGCCACAAGAAAGAGAGAGAAAGAAAGGGTCTGTAAGGGAGGGAGGAAGGGAAGAAGGAGAAAAGAAAAGAAAGAGAGGAAGGAAAGAAGGGAGGGAAAAGAAAGAGCAAGAAAGAAAGAGAAGTAGGGAGGGAGGGAAGTAGGAAGGGAGGGAGGGAGGAGAAAAGAAAAGAGAAAAGAAAAGTTGGCAAGAATGTGGAAAGACTGGAAACCCTTCACACTGCTGGTAGGAATGTAAAATAGTGTACTGCTATGGAAAAAGTATAGATAATCCTCAAAAAATTAAAAATAAAATTACCGTAAAAATCCAGCAAGCCCACTTCTGGGCATGTATCCAAAAGAATTGAGAACAGGCTCTTAAAGACATATTTGCACATCCAGGTTCACTACAGCATTATTCATAACAACCAAGAGGTAGAAGCAGTCAATATAGCCATCAACAGGCAAACAGATAAAGAAAATGCAGCATATATACATACACATACATATATATATGTATATTTGTGTACACACACACACACAACAGAGTATTATTCAGCTTCAAAAAAGAAAACTCTATCATATGCTACAACATGCACAAACCTTGAGGACGTTACAAAGTGAAATAAGCCAGACAAAAAAAGGCAAATACTGCCTAATTCCACTTATATGAGGTATCTAAGCAGTCAAACCCACAGACACAGAAAGCAAAATGGTGGCCGCCAAGGGCTGGGAAAGAAGGGAGGGGAAGTTGTTGTTCGATGGGCACACAGTTTCAGTTTTGGAAAATGAAAGAGTTCTTGACATCCATTGCCCAATAATGTGCATATAGTTAACACTACTGTACCAGACATTTCAAAA